ATGTTCCCCGTGAAGGCACTGCGGGTGTGGTTCCCAGGCACGTGGGACCCCAGAGCTCCATCATTGTTTGTTGAAGACAAGTTGTTAGAATTTAAAGTCAATGATGGTTCAGTGTTATCATGTACAGCATTTGTTAGACTCTCATCCGGTCAATGTGTTTTATCATTAATCCTCAAAAACACGAAGGGAAAAAAAAAGTAAACCAAGCAAAACAACCCTGCCTTGGTTGGTAAAAGAAAAAAAAAATGAGTGAAAAAAATGATTATCACCAGAGAACACAGTGAAGCATCAGTATCTCAAGGGCGATACCTCCTTTGCCATAAAGGGCTTCCTGAGGAAGTTGTATGTCTTATTTTTACTAGAGTTCAAGCTTCCAAAGGACAAGAACCCTCTGTATCACCTTGCATATTCAACCCTTCGCTCAGTGAGTATACACTGGCTATCTGCTGGGGTGCTGGGCAGCACCCCAGATCCTGGGAGTGCAATTCAGTGAGAACAAGGCAGTTCCTGTCCCCTGGAACTTTGTGTCCAGCACAGCGACAGGCACCTCCAGCGAGTGCTCGTTTCAGGTAAACGAGCACGCCTGGTCACACTGGTGGCACCGCGCCACACCTGGGAATGCGTCTGATCGCGGGGTCGCCACGCCACACCTGGGAACGTGTCTGATCGCGGGGTCGGCACGCCACACTGGAAACGCATCTGATCGCGGGGTCGCCACGCCACACCTGGGAACGCGTCTGATCGTGGGGTTGGCACAGCGAGCTGTTCAGGACTCGGCGCTCCGGAGTCAGGACTGCACCTTTCCAGGTCTCACATCTTTATCACGACGCCTCGTCTTCCTGCACTAGGTCATCACACGCAGGTCTAGAGGCTGGAATTCCTGGACAACGAGGCCCAAAGGAATTCATGAGTTGAGTCAATGTTCTGAGGTAGAAAGCAGAATCACATATGAGTTATATACATGTAATGTATATGAATAAAAATACTCACACACACACACCTATTATACTTTCACTTTTTATTTGGTTAAAAAATAACCGAAGTGTAATAGGCCATAAAGCCTCTGCTCTGAGACGAAAGGCCGGGGTGAGGGTGGTGCCCTGTTCAGGATGGAGCTGAGGGGGAGCGGGGGGGGGGGGCCTCGCTCCAGCTGTCGGTGGGGGGAACCCCAGCCCTCCAGGCAGCACCTGACAGCACCAGCGCAGGGAGCAAACCACAGGTGGTCGTCCCAGAGGGCAGCACGCATCAGGTGACGGGCAGGACGCCCTTAGCCCAGAGGATATGGATGCAGAGAAGACAGAGCAGAGCTGCAGACGAGTAGGGTGGCCACCTGTTAGTCCACAGCAGTCTGTGTTAGCAGGACAGGACAGACTCCAGAGGGCAGAGAAAACCAAGTCCCACGCAGGTGGACAGGCCAGGACTTAAAGCATAGGTAAAGGCTGCAAGGCAGATCCTAGAAAGGGTGAGGGCTCCCCCAGTCAGGAGCAGAGGCAGCAGGCGCCTGGGCCCTGGGCCTGGAGCTGAGAACTCTTGCTGCCACAGGGCTAGGAGAGGATTGGGTTTCGTGGTAAAGGGTTTACTGAGAGTAAGTAGAGGACTATAGAGACCGTGGACACGGGAGGATCAAGTGGTGGCTACTTTGCAGCAAGAGCCTCAGTAAACTGTCTTTCTTTTAAATCCTCACCCGAGGATATTTTTCCACTTATCTTCAGATAGAGTGGGAGGGAGCGAAGCAGAGGAAGAGGGAGAACCATCGACGTGAGAGGGACACATTGATTGGTTGCCTCCCGCACGACCCCGACCAGGGCCCAGTATGAGCTGCCAGAGAGGTATGTGCCCTTGACCGGAATTGAACCCGCAACTCATTGGTTTGCGGGCTGACGCCCTGACCCTGGAGCCAAACTGGCCAGGCCTCAGTAAACTGTCTTTTTAATCAAAGTAAAAAGTGCTTTGAAGCAAAGAGAAATGAAAATGTAAATGGGAAAAGAAGTTATTTAGAAGTGAAAATAAAAGGAAAGTAAAATACACCATTATAAAGAAAAGAACAAATTTAGATGTTTAAACTTTTCTTTATTTTCTGCACTGAATTCTATTTATATATAATCTTTTTCTGGAACACAACTTCTGTTTTGGCTTGGTCCTTCTAAGCCACAATGGTATTGTTAACCAATACGATGATGTGCTTGTGTCCATGCTGAAAATGTACCCATTTCCTCTGCTCGTCATGTACTTTTGTCCTAGGTGTGAAACCAATCTCAAGCGTCACCCGGGCAAGGGCATCCCTTCACTGGGCTCTAACTTATCTCCATTCCCACAAAGACTTAGTGCTGCCTTTGCCTCATAAAGTCTTTACAACAGGAAAATGACTTTGGATGGATGAACTGGGTTTAATCTATTGCACTACTGCTTTTCCTGAGAGCAGAAGTCTCCGTTTCACTGAAGAATGTAGAATCCATAGCTCTCCTGACCCAGCCTCACCCTTTCCAACATAGATCATACCACCCTCTAAAACTGGGCCTTGATGACAAGGTGCAGAAATGCTTAGAGGAAATTCTGTCCTTATCTCTCACTTATTTAACAAGTATGGAGCACTTGCTGTATGCCAGGACCTAGGCTTTGAGGAAACAGTTGAAAACAAGACTGGTAAGGTCTTTGCTCTCATGGAGTTTATATTTTAGTGGAAATTAGAATGGAGAGATTCAGAATAGAGAAACTCAGATCAGACAATAAACAGATAATTAAATGAATAAGGTAATTTCATAGAGTAAAAAGTGGTATAAAGAAAACAAAGTAGGCTGTGTTGGGGTGCTAATTTAAGACAGGTGATCAGTGAAGGTGTCCTTGAAGATCTCAGAACTGTGTGAGAAGGGTAACTTTCCATTGCAAACTAATGCTATAGGACTTGGGCATGCTCTTGGGACCGATACCTCAACCTGACTGAGCAGAGAAAGAAGGCACATTTCAGCCCACTCTGTTAATCTACTTAAACACACACACAAAACAACCCTATCCCATGAGATAACATTACACTTGGACCGTGGGGTGTTTGTTGTCTTTGAGTTTGGGGCCAGATCATCTGTGCCCAGAGGTCTTCTTGGTCTTCCTGGCTGCTCTGCTCATTTAGCAGGCAGGCAAACCGGAGAGACAGGCTGGCATGCACACACATGCCCGTAGCCAGAGAGAGCACCAAGCCCTGCTCAGGTGGGATGCCCACTGTGGTAATGCTAAGGGTTTAAGCTCGGGCACTTGGGTAGGCCTCATTTAAGGAGAGCAAAGGGATGTCGAGTAAAATTCCCAAAGACTTGAAAAGAGCTCCTTGAGTAGCGAAGATATCCCTTATAATTTGACGCCTCAATTCTGTTCCCATTTCCCGTGGCACCCAACCGCCCAGGCAATCCCGACCGGAACATTCAGAAACCCGATGTACTAAAGTTCCGACCTGAGATTCTTGTCTATTTGATAGACTGATTCATATTGTGGAAAACGGAATTAGGCTTTAGAGGGTATATTGACACACTTGACGTGGTTTAATCTCTCAGGGCGCATTACTCGTCATCGATCAATGAGTTCTTCGGTCAATCAGGCTGAATCTCCTGGAGCAAAAGGTCCAGCCTTTTCCTAAAATTAAAGTGGTGTGACATGTAGACAACGAAAAAGTGACGAGTGTTAGCTGCTGTAAGGAAATTCACTGCATCCTAGTTCTTCCTACAAAGCACGATGCTGGAAACCGAGACTCTCAAGCTCCGGGGGGGAATAGATAGTAAATAGAATTGAAACAAATTTGTAATCACTGAGGTATTAAGGGCTAAAAGGAGAAAAGAGGAGCAGAATAAAAGATGGACAAAAAAGTCTGTAAACAAGCACGTAACTCAGATATTTAAACTAGACTACAATGGCCTATTCTGGAATCTAAGTATCTTTTTCGGAAGAATGTGTATAAAAACAAAGATTAGTGCTGGGCACACTTCATTCCCTCTTTCTTTTTACCCTCCCTTTAAACAGCGATTTTACAAAGGGACCTTATTTTAAAAAGTATCTTCTGTAAAGAGACTTAATTGAACGATACATGTGTTGAACTGACCAGAGATTAAGATCACATCTGGCGTTAAAGAGGCCTCCACTGTGTCTCCACGCACAGGGCACTGGGCACTTGGAACATCACTTCCCGCAGAGAATGCAGGGACTCGGGGAGCAGGGGCAGCGACCACGGTCTGCACCTTCCGAGCGGGGTACGGAGACCCCGAGGCCCCCGGCGCGGGGGGCCGCGCTGTGGCCGGAGCGCAGACCCGCGGTCCCCGCCGCTGCTCCTCGCCGGTGGAGTCGGCGCGCGGGCCGGGCCCCTCGCTCCCTGCGCCTGGCGGCCGGCGGGGAGCCCAGGGCCGCGGCCGCGCGTGCCACCCTGGTCCCGGCCACGGCGCGGCGTGTGCACCGGAGCGGGCGGCTCCGGCCCCGCGACCGGCCGGCGCTCACGTGGAGCCTCAGCCCGGAGCTGTCCGCGCGGACCCGCCGGAAACGGCCGTCCGGGGGCCCGGGCCCCGCCACGGCGGCGGGGGCTGCAGGGCGGCGGGGCCCGGGGCCTCGTGGAGCAGGTCCCCCTCCCGACGCCCCGACAGCCGCCGGCGCCCCCGTGCCGGCCGAGAGCGCGCCTCCCCGGCACCGGGGCGCCAGGCCCCGCGGGTCCTTCGGGCGCTTCCGCCGCGCGCTCGGCTCCTTTCGCGTCCGGGGCGTGGCGGGGGGGCGGGGGCGCTGCCAGTGCGCGCGCGCAGCGCCGAGTCTCGCGGAGGCGCCCCTCCCCCCGCCCGCGCCGTCCCCTCCCCCTGCGAGTGGCGGCGGCGGCCGCCGAGATTGGAATCCGCCTGCTGGCGCTCGCGGGCGCAGGGAGGGAGGAGGGGCAGCGAGGCCGCGGAGTCCGCGCGTCGGTCCGCGCGAGACGACGACCGCACGGCCGCCGAGGGCCCCGGGCCGGGCCGCCGCACGCCGAGGCCAGGCCGAGCCGGCCGCCGCGCCCACCCGCCCCGCGCCGCGGCTGGAGATGCGTTCCCCGGGGTCTGGGTGAGTTGGCTCCTGGGTGTGCGCGCGGGAGGGGCCGGCGGCGCCGCGGGGTCCCACGTCCCGGCCGCCTCAGCCGCGGCCCACTGGGCCTCGCGCTCCCGCACCCGCCCGGGCCCGGCCCCCGGGCGCCCACGTCGGGCCTGGCGGCCGCCCCGCCGCCCGGCGCCTCTTTTGTTCCCACCCCGCGCTCGGGCCGAGGTCGGGGAGGCGGCGCGGACGGGGGCCGCCCCACGACGCCGCTCGGGTCCTTACATGGGAAGGCGCCCGCCCGCCGCCGGCGGCCGGAGCTGCGGGGCCGCGCGCTGCGGGGAGAGGGGCGCCGTCCGCCCGGCCTCGGCGCCGGCGTTGGGCCTCCCCGGCTCGTCCGCGCCAAGGGCCCGCCGCCGGTCACCTGTTGTCCGCGCTGCCCCGCGGCCGCGTCGGGGGCGGCCCCGCACGCCCGCGTCTGCGAACGGGCGGCGATCGCGGGCCCGCTGCTCCCCGGACCGAGGGGCAGGGCGGGCGCGGGGAGGGCAGCGGCCCGCAGAGCGAGGAAGGGCCGCGGGTCGGGTGGACGCGCCGCCGCTTTTCTCCTCCGCGCGGCGAGCCGGCGTCGTGGGCGCTCAGGCGGCCTCGGCGCGCTCACCGGCCCGTGTCCGTGAGCCCGCGGCGACCCTGGTCACGGCCGCCCCGTGTTCCAGGCACGAACCCGAGACGGACAGAGATGGGTTCACTTGTCCCCGCGAGCTGGGTTTGAACCCAGGGCCTCCACTGTTCGAGCGGGACGTAGGGGAGTTCGAGGCACCGACGAGCCCCTTTCCGCAAACCCCTTTACGCTGAGCCGCACTTCTCCGTCGAGAAGACTCGAAGTGATCGCCCTTTGGGGCTCGAGTTGGGAGCAGCTCTTTTCTTGTGTTTGCTTGTTCGATTCCGAGTTCGAGTAGAATGTAACTTAATGCTTATCGCTGTGCTCAGTGGTTGGAATAAAAAGTTGGTGGACCTGATTTCCATTTTTAAACGGAAAGCTAAAATACCTGCGGTGCGGAGCTGGAAATAGGTTGAGCTTCCAAAAGGCTGATGGAAATTTGGAAGACTCCTGTCATAGAACAATATTCTGCGCCTGGTTTTCACACACACACACACACACACCACCCCCTTCTCCAGAGAGCTCGTTTCAAACTGGTCCTTTTTCCTTCACTCATCCAAACCCTTTACTGAAAAGTTTGAGGCGGCCATGGGAAGCTCCTTCCAGAACTGGGTTCCTTCTCTCAGCTGCGTCGTTCCTTCCATCTTAGTGGAAAAATATATTTTCTAAGTTCTTTTTATTAGCACCTTGTTTCATTTGTCTCTTCTTTCCCACTTCATGGAGTATGAGCTGTCCTCTCTTTTGTCGTGGGGGTTTTAAAAGTAAGATTGTGCTTATGATTCCCATAATTTACCATTAAGAATACAAATCAGCAATTACAAAAGAGTCACAGGATGTAAAGTACAGTCAATAACTATGTTGTCAGGTGGATCCTAGAATTATCTGGGGATCACCTTGTAAGTTATATAAATGTCCAACCAGGATGCTACACCTGAAACGGATGTAATACTGAATGTCAGTTGTAATCGAAAATTTTTTTAAAAGACCCCTCAATTTACAAAAACCTTCCCTTGAGTCCAGTACTTGTTACTGCGTTTCCTTTTCACATTGTATGAACGTTAAAAAATTTGTCCTTATAGGAGTAATACCTGTTCATTAAAGAATAATTGTAAAATAGAGCAAAATTGAAGTAAAATTAAAATTCAGTTATTCATAATCCCATCCCTGGAGATTGTTGAGAGGAGTCTACTTTTCCTGCCTTTACTTCCTGGCCGTCTATTCACCTCCTAACCCCTTGTTATCGGGACTTCACCAGCAGCTTTCTGTTGCCTTTCGAAATGCCTTTGGTAGCCTTTCATTCATCTATCCATTTCATTGAACAAATACTGTGTTCTGACACACCGTGCAAAGTAATAGGCTGGAGCTTAGGCTAGTGAGGGAGGCATATATGGAAGAATGATTCTGTAATTAAATATGTGAGAGTAATTAAAGTGTAGGCTATTCTAAGAGCTTAAAATGGGAACCTGACCGGGGCTGGCAGTGCTGGAGAATCTGAGAAGGCCTCCTGAAAAATGTGTCTCTGGAACCCTGGACAGTTCTGAAGGGTGAGCAGGAGTTAGCCGGATGAAAGGACTTCTCCGCTGGCCCTGGCTTGGTTTCTCCTCGCCCCTTTAATGCTTTCTGTTCTTCCTTCTTCCTGATTCCTCTGCATTCGCCAAGTTTCCCCTTCAGATCACTTTCCTGTGTCTCTGGCCCTTCGATAGTATTGTCTGGGCCCTTCTGTCTGAATAATTCTCAAATCTGTCCTTTATTTCTCTTCTGCACCTGCTTTATGTGTATCTGTGTCTGGTTCTTCTGATTCAAACTGAACTCCTCTTCCTTACCAGGCTTGTTTCCCTGGTGCCCCTTACTTCTGGCGATGCCTTACCCTGCCCATTCCATCACGTCTGTGGCCAACATCTGTGGGTTCTGCTCTCATGGTGTTGTCACTCTTGTCCTGCGAACACAGTGCTTAGTGCATGTTGGTCTCAAGGTCGGATGGACTCAGGCAGCGAGCTGGGCGGTTTCCTGTTCTCTTCTCCGGGCAGACTGGGGCTGTCTGTTCCTTGGGCGTTCGGCAGAGCTCACCTGTAAGACATTCCGGTTTTCTTGTGTTTCTTTTTTCTTCTTTTCTGAAGAGGACTTTGAGTCCCATTTTAATTTGTTTAGTAGCTGTTCATTTTAGGGTTTCTTTTTCTTGTGTGAATGTGGGTGTTTAATCCAACCCATCTATTTATTGAGTTTTTAAATCTCGCGTTGTTTGGTTTTCACGTTCTTTTTTCTTCACATTTTAAAATTTGACATATGTATATATATTTGCATATAATATTATATATTGTGTATATATTTGTATATTTGATAGTTTCCCTTTTCTAGCTGCATCTGTCTCTGTGCCCTTTTCCAGCTGGACTGATAGGCCCTTGTCTTCACCTTCCACCTTTATCCAGTTGCATTGATAGTATTGCGACTTTGTCTTAGGGGCTGCTGCCCGAATGAGTCTGGAGGCCCAGCTCTTGTCATTTCTCTGCTCGGAGGTTCCCAGCGGCTTCTGTTGAAGGAGGTCCTTTCGAGGGCACTGGCCTCGGCTTTGCCTTGATCTCACTCCACTGTTTCTGCTCCCTGCACATGGCCTCCCTCCCCACCCCCGCTCCTGCCGCCGTTCCCTCGACTGGGACGGCACACAGGGCCAATTGTCGTGTGTCCAAGTCCTGCCCATTCTTCAAGTTCCATTTCAAATTCCATCTCTTTCCGTGGTAAAAGTGTGTTAAATCCTTATCTATCAAAATAAGTCAATAGTTGACCTCTGAGTTATGTGATTCTTGAAGTTTAGTGATCTTATTTATAGATAAATGATCTCTAGAGGCATTAAAACAAAATTCGTTCAAATGGCTATTGCTAGTTAGTGGCAATTCAGTGGACTTCAACAATGTAATCAAGTCAGAAAAATCTGCAAATCGAAGACTATGTACAATACAGTGACAGAGGAAAGCAGCCAAATTAATATTTATAAGTAAACAACGAAAATTCCATCTCTTCTGAAGTCTTCTCCATTTTCTTCTTCTGAATGGAATCCCTTCTGAAGGAACAGGTATTTTTAAGGCGTGAAGTTTTTTACCTACTATTTTCGTATTGCGCATACTCATTTGTTCTTTTAAAAAATCAACTTTATTGAAGTCTGATTTATATTCAACCATGTACACATGTTAAATGTGCAGTTCTGTGAGTACTTTAGTCTTTTATCGCAATTTAATACAAATATTAGTTCTGCTGCTCGACGACAGACTAGTAACGGACTTTGTTGCATACTGAAACGAGGGAGTGGAGAAAGTCCGTTCAGCCCAGCAATGGACATTCATTACAGTAGTACTGACCTGGCTTTTGGGTCCTGGGAGCAGGGAACCCTAGAGAGAGGACAGTGGGTTTCCTCTCTGGCTGTTTGGACTAGAAAGTCTTTCCTTCTCTTCTTCCCCCTTCCACCTTTAATTAGTGTTTATGCCTTCTTAATGCCTCAAGGCTCATGCTGACCACGTCAGTTCAACTCTTTGATACTTAAAAGATGAAATGTTGAGTTGTATTGAATTACATCAATTTAAGATGCACCCTAATTTTATAGACCACTTATAAAGAAAATATGCTTCCAGTTAACTTCGAGAGGCCATTGATTGTAGATGCACCCTAATTTCAGGGATACTAAAATATGAACAAATGTATGCACCTTAGAATTGATGAAAGGGGGTTCTCACCTATCAGAACTGTCATTCCCTTAGTGTAGATATTGGGAAGAAGAATTTAAATCACACGTGTGGGGTGACTTAGAGCTTTACTATCATTGTGAAAAGTTAGCTTTTAAAACAGGATGCTTATTGAACCCCTTTAACAATTACAGTGTTACAAGCAGTGTAGAGAAATATTTATTTTTGAATGAGGGTCTCACACAACCATCTGGTTGCAAGGCATTTTGATACCCAGCGTTCAGTATTTTTTCTTCTGAATTTCCTTTGCTCATGTTTTGAACTCATAGATTCTCTAAGAACTAGTACTTTTCGCAAAATGGCATTACAATCATTGTTATGTAAAGGGGGAATTGTAGGAGAATTGTGATAGCCAATTTTATGGGTTATTTTTATTTTTTTTATCCTCACCCGAGGACATTTTTCCATTTTTTGTACAGATAGAGTGGGAGGGAGAGAGAGGAAGAGAGAGGGAAACATCGATGTGAAAGAGACACATCGAGTGGCTGCCACCCACACGACCAACCAGGGCCAGGGACAAACTGCAACCGAGGTACGTGCCCTTAGCGGGAATCGAACCCGGGTCTCTCTGGACCGCAGGCGGACACTCCAACCGCTGAGCCAAACCGGCCAGGGCTTTATGGGTTATTTTAAAGACAGTATTC